AGTAGTAACTTCTACAATCTTCTTCAAAACTCTATATTTGAAGTTTCTCTGATCAGCATCTAATAGATGCCAATACAGTTGCGCATCAGGAAAACCTCATTAATTTGAAAATGCACAGCACCAGACATTTTATCGAAAGGGAAAAAGATGATTCTCTCGATGGTCGATTTCTAACTGCCCCCGAGACGACGAAAAATGTCAAAAGTTCCTCACAAACGTACCACGAATAGAAAAATCTGAGAAATCAAAAACAAGAAAAAACCAGAGAGCTTCTGTAAGTGTTCCAGCCGGGGACCTTATCATTTCATCGCTGCTCAAATGCGTGACAAATTGAGCTGAGCTGCTGAGGACTCTTTGGCAACCGAAACCATGTATTAGCTTAACTTATGTCTCTAAAATTTTTTTTTTCATAATTTTGTTTTGCTATTGATTAAAAAATGTTTGTACGATTAACGTCCCTTTCACCGGGTTGAGCAATCGCTGTTAGAATCTTCCCAAAGCTGTTTTTGCCAACTGCATGATTACCGCTGATAGTTTAGGTGTCTCAAGACAATGGGGAGGTATGCAAATCGTGCCGATCTTTAAATCAATATTTGTTCGATAAACCTTTCTTCGTTTTGGTTGCTGAGGAAGGCGGTTCAACCACTTTGTCTATTGGTCGGTGTCTGGAGATTACCGATTATCCTTTCCTCAGGAAAAAAGTACCCAGCGAAGTGTTTTAATGAGTAAATTGTCCCGTATTTTATTCAAAAAGTGCGAATGTTTGACCAAAGCGATGTCCAATCAAGGATGAATGAAAACAATGCAAACCGCGTCGGGTTGCTATTTTGGTCATAAGATCAATAAAGCTTTTTCTCTTTCTCTTTTTTATTTCCTTTTCATATAAATTGAAGTGTGGCCCTTTCTTTTTTAAATCTTATTGACGGACATAGTTGTAATGAACTATGTAACAAACATAACTATCAGATCCATCTCAATTTAGTTAATGAAATGTTACTGACTTTTAAAACTATCTGCCTGTCTGTAGCGAATCTTATAATCACTATATAAACAACACAAACGTCGCATGAGTTGAAATGTCAGTGTTCTTGTTTTTAAAAAGGTTTGTTATCTTGGCAATCAGAGAGATCCCTTACAAAAGACATATCGGTATATTAAAAACAATTTTAATCTCCTGAGGACGGTCCTCATTTGACGATTAAAAAAGGAAAGCATCTCCTTAGCAAATAGTTCCTTTAGGACCTCTATGTAAACCACTATTGTGATGGAGCTTCCTAATAAAAGATTGTTATTATTATTAATAGTTTCCGCAGAGGAATATACGTTTAAAAACTTCCTTTAATTCAAATCCTGAGACAACCAACCTAAGACTGCAGTTAATATAGTAACTATCCGGTTTTCGTCGAGTTCATGTAAAGAATAATGTGGTACGTAGCATAGTTTCTAGAAAAAATAAATTGTTTAAGAAAAAATTCGTTCAATGTAAGCTATTTTAGTACCGCAGCTATCTAAAAGGTTCCAGTCGTAAATATCTTTGCAGTTCTCGTGTCAAAATTTCTTATTTTTCCTCGGGCCGTTCATTAAAGTTATATGCTTTGTTTAGAAATGTTTGATGTGCACCTCGTCAAAAGCATTGTTAAAACACGGGATATTCCAGTTTGAAAAGGTTTCAGTAATGGTCGATTGTTACCATACTGGAAAAAATAAATGACTCTATTAACTTTCTTTTCTAGAACGAAACCTTATCTCGAGGTTAAGGGATGTTTTAGAATAAAAGAAATAACCAAACAGATTGTTATGGCATTTCGGGGAAGATATCAGACAACCATCATTTTCTATTAATAAAACGCTATGAATAAATAACAATGATCTTAATTATCTTCGTCGTCGATAATAACGGCTGATATTCTATCTAAACCTAGGAGAACGTCAAAAAAGGTAACTGAAAATTGTCATGATTGAGAAAGTCGAACTCCAAAAAGGAAAAAACTAGCGAAAGAACACAAGTCTTTATTTTTTGTAAGACGTCATGAAATTCAAGGGGTAAGAAATATCGAAGGCTTACCATGCCGTATAATTGGAAGAAATTTGAGATATTTTGATAAAAATAGCAATTGAGGATTTCCATAGCGACATATCCATAAGTTCATGGCGCTTCACAATATTTTGTGTGGGACTTTGGCCAGACTGCAATTAGTAGTTTACAGTTTTTTAAGGAATGTTTTTCAGATGACCACAATTTTGGAATGTAAGCCAGACCACATATTGCGCAACGTCAAAATGACAGACCAAAAAGCTGTGCTGTTGTATGAAAATTAATATTATTACAGTGTGACTTTTTGATTCCCTAGTCGAACCATTAAACACGATGCTTGGGTGTATACTCTGCGCTCTTGATGGTTCGCTTATTACTTCTGTGTCGCAAAAGCATATGAATACGGCGTCCTTCTTAGGCTCTATATAGTTAAACGGTTCAGAGATTAACTCATCAGCCGAAAACCGCACAGACACGTCATATCATTAGGGACCTTAAGAAAACCACGACGGCGACGGCAACGAGGACGTGGGAAAACCAAAGATCTAGTTGGCAGAACAATAGCTCAGCACGTGCGTTTTAAAACTTTGTACATTGTTTTAGGCTTCCCATACAAAACAACGACGTGAAATCACCAAAATTTGCGTCGTCTGCGAACGGAATGTCCCTATTATCATAATGTCCCTATTATTATATGACCCGTCCGGCCCCGCGGGCGCAATCCCATAGAAAACCTTAGTGAAAGCTGACGTGTGCAGGGCCGGACGGATTGATGTGAGCCGGTCCGAAAAAAAGCAGTCCGACCCTACCCTCATGTCGCTTTGTTGCAAAAACTTAAGGAAAACAGAAATGAGAAAAAAGAATCCCGTTTTTCAAGGAATTGGGAGTTTCTTGTTCTTACTTGAAAAAATAAAGGAAATGTTTAAATTGCAGGATTTTTTTTTTGTTCGTGTGGCTATGAGTGCCCGTCTACCGAGTAGTATTTAAACTGAAATTTTCAACAGTAAGTGGTCATACGATAACAAGCTTATTGACTGCGTTTGGTTGGGCAGGACGGGAAAATGCTTGGCTTTCAGTCATGAGGCACGTACTTCAAGACCCCGAGTCAAGTAATTTCTCGTCCGGCACATCCACACAGTCAATAAGTACATTTATTATCCAACTGCACAATGTAGATTACAAATGACCCGCGAATTGAGTACAAATGTCACGCGATATTTGTACTCCAGAGAACCGTAAATAGATATCCGCGAAATTCGCTCACACTGAATTAACAACTTGGCGTGTTGAATAATGAATCTCTTATTAAACGTTTGTTTTTTAGTATCGCTAAGTATTTTTATTCGTTGTTTGTATTTTAACTCACCCTACGGGCTCGTCAAATGCGGCACAACTCGTAAAAATACTCACCGATACTACACAATAAAACGTTTAATAAGATATATATTTGCCACTATGACCCCATATTACCACATCAAGGCATCGGAAGGCGAAAAATTGTTTTCGACTTTTTCCCTCGCCTTATACGATTAACGTGATGCTCAATCAAGGCCGTAGGAAGTATTTCGAAAACTAGAAGCTAATATTAACATCTAATTGTATAGTTAATCCGAAAATGTCAGGATAGCTATTATTCTTTAAGTAAGTCTTTTAAACGGTCCAACTAAGGATTAATTTGGATAGTTTCAAAGTATCCGAAGTTAAAAAATTCCTTTGACAGCCAAATTGGACTCGGCCTATGGCCTCGTCCAATTTTGGCAGTCCTCAGAATTTTTTCACCCAATTATTTCCAAGTTGGACAACATGTAGTCCTATTACAAACACTAATACGAGAAAGCACTTTGCTTATCACTCGTAATTCTTGTTGCCTCGAAGGAGCTCAGTTAATATAACGCAAGGCGCAAAATGTCTGCGGATATTATATGACTTATATGTTAAACCATGCACATAAAGAATTGTCAATCCTTCTGAGATTTTATTTTAGTTATAAGAACAGCTGAAGACTTATCTTTTCACAAATTGTCAGTTTGATAGGGTTTTTCGTCTTGTGGTCAAGGAAGGTTGAATTTCTAAGCTTTTGCGTGACACGACATTCCTCTTCTTTGATTTCTTTGATTCTTGACTTCATTTGTTGAATGGTTAAACGTTTTGATGATGGAAAGACTGTGAAAAACGGCAATAAGGTGAATATATACTACAATACCTCGATGGCTTCGCTTCGGTGGATTTACATAAGTTTCGAGGGCATGACGGGGAAAACCACCAACGAAGTCTGAAGATGATTTGATTTCCATCCATTTGTAATATAATTAGATAAGTAAAATTCAAACTAAAACAACGCATCCATCGTTTGACGGTTAGGAACACTATGGTTATCAATGTAAAAATTACCAAAAGTGTAACGCACAGAAAAAAATGTTTCATGCTTTGTTAACACAGAATGATGTTGGCAGCGTATTTGCTGCTATTCACTGTTATCTGTTACTGTTATCGCCCGTGACAAAGTAAGGAAATACGCTAGGTATGATAAAATGGAACAACATTCTTAACAAACCATTCTCAAATTTCTTTTCATGGAAGCATCCATCGAAGCCGGATGTAGTGCCATCTATATAAAACAAAACGTCGCTTTATGATTTCACCGGCAGCACTGGATAACAGATGTAGCAGGCCGTTCATCGCATAGTGCTTCTTCTTTACTTAATTTTTGTAATCAAAGTTTTCGGTTTACCCTCGAGTAGTATTTAAAGTTTTTTTCAGTTCATTACCTGAGTATTTTGGTGTAAAGGGCTTTGAAACATCTCAAGAGCAGAGCTGGCCACGTGCTGAACTAGCGTACTAATCGTCTCAAGGATTGTTTTTACAGCTTCGAGTTCAGTCAGTACAACGTCCGTGGTCGAAACGAATGTGTCGAGTCGTTGCATCGGCAGAAAAATATGGGAATGGCTTCAAGAAATGCTTATTTGGTCTTATTTTTTATCGGTGTAAGCTTCGGTTTCAATGCAGGTAAGATGGCTACTGTTTTTACTTCAACCTTATCCGATCCAAAAGTTTATTTCTTGTCGCTTTACATGTATTCTGCATCGCAAAATTTTTCGTTTGCTTGAATCTTCCTGTCAGTTTGATTTTATGTTGAGACGGTTGTTGGCCTTCTATATCTAGGAGGGTGACAGACTTTACTGATAGAAAATGTAGAGTATGAAGAATCGATAGAGAGGCCTCGCCTTGGCGATAAAGCTTTTTCAGTTAAGATTTCCACCGAACAGAATACGAACAGCAGAAAAATACGGACTGCTTTCTTCGAAAAAAAAAGAAACAGACGGAGAAACAAAGATCAGATGGCGAACTGGTAATTCTTATTTAAATTCTTCCACTCCAATAAGAAGTCCACAGAGATTCATCATTTTGAATATATGTGCATCTTTTCCAACGAGTTCGTAGTCCTTTTGGCAGAATAGCTCCTATGTAAAGCTACTAGTGTCCCCTGTTCTTGTGAAGACCTCCTACTCTCTAACTGCTTTTCAAGTAACGAAAGGTCCTTTATTTCGCGTGAAGGAGGCAAAATAGAAACGCTAGTGCATGTTGGTCATCGAATAAAAATGTTTTTTTTTCCATAATTTTAAAGCATGTAAATTGGCTACTCAAAAAAGAAAGGTCCAAAGCGTGGCGGACAAGTAAATTTGTGCGCGGGTGAGTTTTATACCTAAAACATCTCGTATTTAAAGTTTCCTTTCTTGGCGGCGTTAGTCATACGTCTAGAGAGTCACTTTGACTGTGAAATTTTATGCCAAAATACACATATTCTCGCCATTTCTTATTCATAAATTTATATAAAGCCGTTCGATTTGAGAACATGCACTTAGGATCGATGAATCAAAATATTTATGATGACAATCACGAGTTGTGACCAAGTATGACCGCTTATCAGCCCAAATGCTTTGGTCCCAGAACAATTTCTTACGTGAACTAATTTTTCACACAAGGTGTGAAGCCCTGATGTCTGTGAAACCTATTACGGATAATAAGAACACGTTAAATCTCTCCCTGTTCTTGGATTCCATCTCTTCAAGAGGTTGACAATCTCTTTTAAAATATTTTGGCCGATCATTCCAACCGTGGGAGCCAACTTTCTTAGATTTGGACCGTAATTTTTATAGAGCAGATCACGTCCTAATTAGTAGTTAATTCTTTCTCGGTGGGAGAACATCCACAAAAGTCAGATTTGATTCCTCATGGAAAAAGGACGCTGATCTCCCTAGTTTTTCTTTATTATCCTTTTCCGCAGTGTCCCGCGCTCGAAACAAATAACATTCAATGTCCACTTTATCCATTTCGATTAAACATTTCTACCAATATTTTTGTCGTCATGTACTTAGCGCACTAAATTTCACTTGTTTGGTGTTTTCGAAAAGCAAGTGATACGTGGGAAGAATTTTGGCCAATTTTCCGCTTTTAGTTTTCCGAGAACCTCTCAGTATTTATAAACTTTGAATTCCCAGAAGATCGAAGGCGGAACCTCCGTGCCCTTTTATGGTTACGTGACGCACATGGGTCTACCATAGTATAGGTTATCAATGACAGTTGTCTTACGGTTCTCATGTGGACCTCTTAACAAACCACATTATTATGTCTCCTTGTTACTGACCTTGTCAGCTGTGAAATTTACAAGAAACCAGTAATTTTTTGGTTATCATTCCGAAACTGACAAGCTTTGAAGGGCTTTTAGTAAGATTAAACAGTAAAATTCAAATAGATTTTATATCAATATATTTTTTAATATTGTAAGAAATATGCAACTTTTTTTAGAGACATGTTTCGGCATGCTTATGCCATTTTCAATCAATGAGTAACTGTATGTGAGTAATTATATAACAGACAATAGATGAATAAAATATTTACAGTGTGATGTAATACAAAAGCGGATACTTACGGTGGCCCAGAAGGCTCAACGCAAACAAATAATATACTGCAGGAAATAAAAAATATACTGCAGCAAATAAAAATATACTGCAGCAAATAAAAAAATTAGAACGCAAAGAAAAAAAGTACCGCAGCTAATAAAAAAATGCAACGCATACAAAAAATACTGCAGCAAGTAAAATATGCAACGCAAACANGTAGTGCGAGAGAAACTGAAGGGCTCCACTGTAATCATCATAGCTCATCGCCTGAAAACTATCAGAGACTGTGACATGATTTTGGTTATGAAAAGTGGTCAAATCTTTGAGCGCATAAAGTTTGAGGATATGCTATAAAATCCTAAATATCCTGGCATTCTAAAACCTTTTGAAATTATCTGTGAAATTAAACCTGGCCCCTAGGCCAATGCAACTTCATATATCTTTCTTTTCTAATGATATAAAAGTGGGCAGAACCACTCGAACTGAAATAGCGCAGACTTGTTTTATCATACTACCCGTTCCGTCTAACAATAGCAAAATTTGTCTAGGAGTTTTTACAAGAAACTTAAATAAGGTCGTAGTAGTAGCAAGTAGGATAAATATTGTAAGAAATACACAACTTTTTTTAGAGACATGTTTCGGATCAATGAGTAACTGAACGTGAGTAATTACATAACAGACAAGTAGATGAATAAATATTTACAGTATGATGTAATACAAAAGCGGGTACTAATTACAGCGTGACAACAAACATGAAATTAAAGGTGTGAACTAAAATGCTAGAAAAGTGTTATAATGCTGTAATTGTTTGTTAAGTTTAGGTTTGATCTTATTTATATAAAAAGCTTCTTTGAGCTTTAAATCAATTGAGTTGTTGGCAGAATCCAGAATACTAAAGCAAGAAAGGGAGTATTTGTTCTTACAAGGAGATGTGTTAAAATGCTTAAAATATGCGAGTTTTTATCGCTTTCCGTGTGCTCCCTTATCCTAGTAGAGAGGTGGCGACTAGTTTCGCCAATATAACGGGAATTACTTCCCGCACAAGAAAATTGATAAACTACCATGGATTTTAGTGCATCAGGAGTACGATCTTTAACACTGAACATGTTTTTAATTTGAAAGAAGTGAAAACCAGTTTGATATGTAGGTCCGATTTACAAAAGCGCTTAGTGAGTTGTCGGAGTTTAAGGTTCGCTATTTTAGAATAATAGCCGACGAAAGGGAGTTTAAAGTAACGTGTATTATTGTCATCAATGTTCCGGCTATTTTGAGACGAGGACCCGTCAAGATAACGCTTGAAAGTTCACTTGCGGACACCTCATAAAGTATTAGACCTCAAGCAGCAAAGTTGAAGAAAATGTACTTAGTGGAGACTTTGATGATTCTGTTATTACACCTGGAGGCATAATCTTTGCATGGTCCCCATGGCATTAACGAAAAGAAACCCAAAACCCAAAAATGATGTTCGGGACAGTTTCTGCCCCTGAAACATATCAAAAAAAGTTCGTTTCTATGTCGCAGCAAATGGCTTTTCAGTCACTGTTCTGATAAACCAAAACTAATACAGAGCAGCACTTAAAAAGCATTTAAACTATGAAGTAAAACGCCGTGTTTTCGATTTTAAAAGGAATCAAGCATTGATACAAGTACATTAAATGAAGGTGAAATTAATGAGAACAAATGACATAAACCTGTTACAGCTGTACTTTATCCGCTGTAACGCTGATATTTTTGTAATCGTTGTTGTTTCTTAAGGAATGTACTTACCAGGGAATATATTGATATAAATTTTAAGTCTCTTTAAGAGATAAAAATTCGGATTTGGTCCAGATCAATTTATCATCGAAAGAAGACATTTAAAACTAAATACTGTCCACAATTTCTCCCTTAAAGATAATTTAAATGTTGTTTCTTTTACTTCACACACAGGGGCATTAGGGAACAGCACCAATGAGAGCTCCTTACTCAGTGCCAACTACACAGTATCAAGAATGGCAGCCACTAAATCCCAAGGAGCACAATTTGTGGTTGTTTCATCTACAATAATGGAGGAATCATCAGCATCAGTTTCCGTTACAAGGTGTGCTTCCTTATTATCTCGTACCGCAAAGCTGTCCAGTGTTTCAACTGTAAAACTAAAACAATCTACAAGGATGTGGAGTTTGAAGTCAAGTGTCGCACCCCATACCACAGCATCGCCAGCCTCATCACTGCCGAATACTTCAGCCACGTTTCTGAGCGAGTCAAGAAGCACAGCAGGATTAAATTCATGTACTGTCCTCTCTTCCTTAGCCTGCGCAACCCTGTCGCCATCCTCGTCATTATCAAGTATTTCAAGTTCATCATTGGAACTAACAACAAGTCCAGCCCCGCCGTCATCAAGTAATTCAAGTTCCATACTGCAAGAGACACGAAGTCCATCAAGTTCGGATTCAAGTGGTGTGCCTTATTTCACATCTTCTCCAGCTTCGCCGTCATCGAGTATTTCAAGTTCCATAGTGCAAGTGACATCGTCCACTACATCCTCCTCTCTATGCAGTTTCAGTTATTACAGTCTATGTCCACCTTCCTCGTCATCTCGTACCGCGAAACTGTCAGCCACGATCATGGACATGTCAAGAAGCACACCAGGGTTAAATTCATGTACTGTCTTTTCTTCCTTAGCCTGTGTAGCCTCGTCGCCATCCTCGTCATTATCGAGTATTTCAAGTTCGTTACTGGAACTGACAAAAAGTGCAGCTAGCTCTGTCTCAAGTAGTGCGCCTTATTTCACGTCTTCCCCAACTTCGCCATCATCAAGTATTTCATGCTCCGCACTGCAGCTGACAACAAGTCTATTAACTTCTGATTCTGGAAGTCTGCCTTTTTCCGCATCCTCTCCAGCATCGACATTATCGAGGATCTCAAGTTCCATGCTGAAAATTACTAGAAGTCCTTTAACGTCAGATTCTATATCTCCCCCAACCTTGTCATCAGCGAGTACTTCAAGTTTCATACTGCGACAGACAACAAGTTCATCGAATTCTAACTCTAGTGGTGCGCCTTATTCCGCATCTTCCCCATCCTCGTTGTCATCGAGTATTTCAAGTACTACACTGCAACAAACAACGAGTCCTGCAAGTTCAGATTTAAGTAGTGCGCCTTACACCAAATCTTCTCCTACCTTGTCATCAAGTTCGATACTACAACAGACAAGAAATTCGTCAACCTCAACTTCTAGTACTGTGCCACATTCTACATCTTCCGCATCTTCGTCATCCCTGATTATTTCAAGTTCCTTGCTGCAACAGACAATGGGTCTATCAAGCTTAAATGTAAGTAGTGTGCCTTATTCCACATCCCCCTTATCATCAAGCATTTCAAGTTCTACAGCGCTACAGACACGTTCTTCAGTTTTTAACTCCAGTGGTGTGCTTTACTCCACATCTTCTCCTACCTCGCTGTCACCTTCCATACTCCAACAAACAAGTTCATTAAGTTCTGGATCAAGTAGTGAACCTTCTCTAACCTCGTTATCATCCAGTAGTCCAACTTCTATACTTCGACAAACAACCAGTTCATTGAATTCAGACTCTAGTAGCCCTCATTCTACGTCTTCTAGTACTTCGTCCCCATCAAGTATTTCAAGTTCCATTCTGCAACAGACAATTAGTCCATCAAGTTCTGATTTACCTAGTGTGCTTTATTTCACATCTTCTCCAACCTCGACATCATCGACTATTTCAAGTTCCATACTGCAACAGACAAGCAGCTCATCGAGTTCAGATTCTAGCAGTGTACCTCGTTACTTACCTTCTCCAACCTCGTCAACATCTGTTATTTTAAGTTCCATACTGCAACATACAGAGAGTTCATTGATTTCTGATTCTAGTAGTTTCACACTTGAACAATCAAGAAGTTCGACCAAATCACAATCTAGTACTTCAACTATTTTTTCTTCTTCAGTACCCAGTCTTTTAACGACGACATCGCGGTCAGGGAGCGCAGTTTATTCTTCATCTCTTGCAGTGCAACAATCAATCAACTTATCAGTTGTAAGGCCACCTTCAACGCGCTTTTTAGTACCAGCTGAATCTATAGCATCGTCAATAACTTCTGCAACAACGCAGCAAACAGTCACCTCGACTCCAGTTTTTTTGCTTACCTCCGCCTTTACTCCCAGTCTGACTCCCTTTTCAAGCCGGGTCCTTCCTACCTCATCGCCTTTCCCAAAGGAGTCTGAAAGTGCGTTTTCTGTCTTTTCGCTAACACCTTCATCTACAAAATTAACGTTCATCACTTCTTCCACAGTAATTATTCCGCCTACTACTCCAGATCCAGAAACAACAAAACGATTTACCGTGAGCTCCACAATCACAAACAAGAAGTACAAAGAAGAACTTGAAGACGAAGAAAGTAAGGGATTTAAAGATCTTGCGGACGAAATTAACACGTCAGTCACTAATGCACTTGAGAAAAAGATCGAATTTGCTAGCTCTAATGTGGTACGGTGACATTATGTGGTACCACATTATGCAGTACCACATTATGTGGTACCCACTTTATTTTTTCAAAGCCTGGCAACGCTATCCCACGCATAAATTGCTACCCAGCAGATAAATGTTGGGAAAACGTACTGCGCAATCCATCGGATAGAGATTTATCCCGTGGATAGCGTTATCCACCCTTTCAATAATCGAGGCCTGATTTGTTGTATAATATCCCTACTTCAGATCTGTGGTATAACTTCCATACATCAGATCTGTGGTATATCATCCATACGTTAGATCTGTGGTATGACATCTATACTTCAGATCTTTCGTATAACATCTATACTTCAGATCTGTGGTAAAACATCCATAATTCAGATCTCTGGTATAACATCCATTCTTCAGATCTCTGGTATATCATCTATACTTCAGATCTGTGGCATAACATCTATACTTCATATCTGTGGTGTAACATCTATACCTAAGATCTGTGGTGCAACATCTACGCCTCAGATCTGTGGTATATCATCTATACTTCAGATTTTTGGTATAACATCTTCTCTTCAGGACTGTGGTATAACATCTATACTTCAGATCTGTGGTATAACATCTACACTTTTGATCTGTGGTATAACATTTATTCGTCAGATCTGGGGTATAACATTTATTCTTCAGATCAGTAGTAAAACGTCTACACTTCAGATCTTTGGTATATCATCTATTCTTCAGATCTGTGGTTTTAACATCTTCACTTCAGACCTGTGGTATAACATCTACACTTCAGATCTGTGGTTTAACGTCTATACTTCAGACCCCGGTTGTTCGAAGGATGGATAACGCTATCCA